CCGCCCCCCCGCCCTCCCGAGGCCCACGGAGCCCTTAGGACCCAGCGGAACCCTGTTTGAAAACCACCCGCCCCTGCAGTTTGGATCTTTGGTTCTAAAGTAAAATGGATTTGTGTTCCCAGTCCTCCCTGCCATTCCCAATATCTCCTTCCTTCCCTAGGGACAGCTTCCGGATCTTTCAGAAGCTGTCGGAGATTTTCTCGGACGAGAACAACTACTCACTGAGCAGAGAGCTGCTCATCAAGGTAAAGGGGCGGGGCTGTTTCTCAGTGGGTTTCTTTGAAACATTCCAGACCTGTGTTCCCTGGACTTCGGGGAAGAACGGTCTGTTTGGTCCATGGGCAGGTGCGGGGCCCCTCCTACTGGCACTGCAGCTCCCTCCAGGCTGCTGGGTGAGTGGAGTCAGGGGTGGGTGTCCATCCCTTCCTCCCCAAACCAGCCCGGCCTGTCTCCAGGCTCCTGCTGCTTCTTCTGTCTGCACTCACCTCCGAGAGGAGGGCACTCATCTGCCCAGGGACAGGGCGCTGCAGGGGATGCCCAGAGACCAGGTCCCAAGTCCCAAAGGGGCTGCCTAGACGTGGGTCCAGATGACCAGACACATCTGGGTGCATGTGGGGTTAAAGGGCAAGGGGAAGAAGGCCTCACTGACCCCATCCTCATCCCTGGCAGGAGGGGACCTCCAAGTTTGCCACCCTGGAGATGAACCCCAAGAGAGCCCAGAAGCGACCAAAGGAGACGGTGAGTGTGCCTGAGGTCACGGAGAGGCAGGGGGCTGGCCTCCTGAGTCCCCTCCTGCTGCTGTAGAGCCTGACGTGCCCCGTTAGACCTGACCTCAGGGCCGTGCCCTGACCAGCTGGTGTCTTGGGGGGACTAATTACAGCCACCAGGGTAAGAGCCTGGAAGAGCCGGCCTGGGTGGGGGGAGACTTAGGGGTGGGGGTTGGGCAGAGACCATATAACCTTGGGGATTTGTTAGATACCAGGCCTGGAAGGTGACCTGAGGGAATTTGGGGTCCGTGGACACTAGGAGGATTGGTGCCTAGAGGTCCCCAGGCTGCTTGCTCCAAGTGGGAGGCCTGGGGTAGGGGCTAGGAGGGGCTGAGGCAGAGGGGTTTTCAGGAGAGTGGACTTGGGCCCCATTTATCACCTGCCACCACGATGTCACAGGGCGTCATCCAGGGCACCATCCCCTACCTGGGCACGTTCCTCACCGACCTGGTGATGCTGGACACCGCGATGAAGGACTATCTGTATGTAAGTGAGCCGGGGGCTGGGTGGGCCGGGACAGGGGCCCTTAGGCCCAAGAGGACAGTGCCCGGCACCAAGTCTGAGCCCTCAGCATGGCATGCCTCACCTCGTGAGAGCCCCCAGCCCGTGTGCCGAGGCACCTGCCCATCTTACCAATGAGTAAACAGCTTGCCATCTGGCTGGTGGGGCTCAGAGCTGCAGGAGGGTTTGGCCAAGCTGGACACAGCCNGGGGGCAGAACCCTGGCTCCCACACATCTTGTGATTCCCGCTGGAGGCCTGAGGTCTGGGGGCCTCTCCTGCAGGAGGAAAGGGTCAGAGATCTGTGGATCGGGCCCCGGGTCCCCAGGGAACAGAGGGGAGGCTGGGGGCTCAGAGCCGGCCCTGGAGAGAAGCCGTCCCCCACAGCCCATCCCAGCGCTGCTCGCCCCCGCCCCAGTCCGGGCACCCAGGACAGGAGGCTTGAGAGCCGCCTGCTCACACATCAGCCCCACCTCGGTCCTCCGAGCCCAGCTGCGCTGTTCCCAGGAACAGTGTCAGAGGGGAGGTGAGAGCCGCGTGTGGTCACAGAGACTTGGGCAGCACGTGGTGCATGAGCTGCGGATGCGGTGCCACAGGGCCCTGTGAAGGCTGGCAGGAGGACACACCCTGCTTGTCCCCTCCTCCCTCTCGTTTCTGCAGCACTGACTGTGCCAGTCTGTGCCCTCCTGGAGCTCACATTCCAGTGGGGAGGGGCCGGGGGACAGCAGGACTGTGTCAGTCTTCCCTGAGGAGGGAGAGGTGGTCACACCATTGATGGTGTCCCCTGGAGACACTGCCAGCCCCTGCCTGGACAGCCAAGTGAGGGTGGGCTTGGGTGCACTGGCCTCTGGCTGGGCAGAGACGGGCCCAGAGCCCAGCCCCTGCAGGGGTGTCATGGGAGGGCCACATGGAGGAGAGGCTGGGCCTCTGACTGCTGCCTGCCCACCTGCCTCCCCCAGTGCCATCTCCTCCATCCTGGGCACCTGGCTGGACCAGTACTCAGAGGACTTCTGCCAGCCCCCGGACTTTCCCTGCCTCAAGCAGCTGGTGGCCTACGTGCAGCTCAACATGCCCGGCTCCGACCTGGAGCGCCGCGCCCACCTCCTCCTGGCTCAGCTGGAGCACATGGAACTCACTGAGGCTGAGCTGGAGGGTGAGGAGAATGGGCGGGATCGGGGACACACAGGGAGGAGCCCCCAGAGGCTGGCTTTGGGCCAGGAGGAAAGGCTTGCCTCAGCCCGCCATCTGGTGGACTGCATTTGTGGAAGACCTCCTGGCCTGAGACTTCTCTAGGAGGCAGTGGAATGTTTTCTGTCTTGGAAAGACAGGCGTGTTGCTGAACTTTTGTCTTCTTGCAGCTCTATCACCAGCTCCAGCTCCAGCTCCAGCTCTAAAGACAACTCCAGAGCCAGAGCCAGCTCTAGCACCAGCTCTAGCTCCCAGTCCAGTGCCAGCTCTAGAACTAGAGCCAGAGCCAGCTCCGGCTCCAGAGTCAGTGCCAGAGCCAGTGCCGGCTCCAGAGCCAGTGCCAACTCTAGAGTCGGCTCCAGCACCAGAGTTAGAGCTAGAGCCAGCGCCAGCTTCACCACCAGCTCCAGAGCTGGAGTCAGCTCTGTCACACACCCTAGAGCTTGAGCCAGCTCCAGCACCAGAGCCCTCCTGGCCTTCACCCGTGGCTGCAGAGAACGGGCTGAGTGAGGAGAAGCCTCACCTCTTGGCGTTCCCCCCTGACCTGGTGGCGGAGCAGTTTACCCTGATGGATGCGGTGAGCAGCTCAGCTCAGCTCAGCGTGGTGGGGGAGGGGTGCACTTTCCTCTGGCATCTGTTGCCCAGACCTGCCATCCCCTGGTCCGGAACCAATGTCCTGACCTGACCCAAATCCCAGCTCCACTGTTACAAACTGTGTGACCTGGGCAAGTTTCTGAACCCTGAGATCTTAACTCTCCTCTGAACTGTAGAGATGGGACCTCCCCCCACCCCATCCCTCTGCAGAGTGACGGAGGATTAGAAACACTAGAAAGCTGGGGGGGGCCTGGCCATTTAGTGGGGGAGGGAAGCTCCTTGAGGTGCAACTGACTGCATGGGTCTTCCCCCCATCTGCCCAGGAGGCCTCACCAGCCTCAGCACTTATTGGGCACCTGATGTGTACCAGAGTCCATGGCAGACACCAGATCAAGCCTCTAGTTGTAGCACCCACAATGGGTATGCACCTGGATAGGGGCAGACAGGTGTGATGGGGGCTAAAGGGGTCACCTGTTGGCACAGATAGGGGCCACTCTCTGGTGCTCTGAATTAGGGTGCGCTGGTGAAAATGCCAAACTCTTTCCTTCCAGTGTTTCATCCTGGGTCCCTCGTGTGCTGGGTGCCCACAGTGGGCAGGGCACAAAACCCAGAGACCCCCTAAGAGGCTCAAACCATATCCTCAGCTCCCTGACCCCAGCTCTGACCAGGGACCCTGTCTGGGACTGGGTGGGGGGCTGTGGACGCTAAGCTCCAGGGTGTGACAGGTCCAGGTGACACTCCCTTACTCCCCAGGAGCTGTTCAAGAAGGTGGTGCCCTACCACTGCCTGGGCTCCATCTGGTCCCAGCGGGACAAGAAGGGCAAGGAGCACCTGGCTCCCACTGTCCGTGCCACCGTCACCCAGTTCAACAATGTGGCCAACTGCGTCATCACTACCTGCCTGGGAGACCGGAGTGTGACGGCCCGGGCCAGGGCCAGGGTGGTGGAGCACTGGATCGAGGTGGCCAGGGTATGCCTCGGAGTGGGGGAGAACCCCTTCTTCACCTTCCCTGCTCTCAGGGTTGTGGTCTGTGTCCTAAGCCCCTGCAGACACCCCAGGCCCTTCTGTTTCCGGGGCCTGCACGTCCCGCTGCCTGGGCACTCACTTCCTCCTTAGGGTCCTTCCTGGGTTGAGCTCAGATCCTCCTCCCTGGGAATGTTACTCACTGGGGCCAGGCATGCCCTTCGGGGCTCCCCAGGCATCTGTCTTACCTGGGAGGGGAGGCCCCAGCTGAAACAGACTAACGCTGGAGCAGGTGGGAGCCTCAGCCCGCGTCACAGACGTTCCCTTCTCTCGCCAGGAGTGCCGGGTCCTGAAGAACTTCTCCTCGCTCTACGCCATCCTCTCCGCCCTCCAGAGCAACTCGATCCACCGACTGAAGAAGACGTGGGAAGAAGTTTCCAGGTGGGCAGGTTTTTCTGTAGGAGCTCCACAGTGTACCAGGGACCTCCCACGGGGCTGAGCCCTGCCCCTCAGCCCAAGCCCTGCCAGGGCTCACTTGTGGGTGGGTCTCTGAGTGTTCATTGGCCTCAGGACTCAGTTTCCCGACCTGTCAGGTACTGGTTTAGCCACATTGGAGGTTTTCATGTGTTTACTTCATAGCCACACAACTCTTTATCCACATGAAGTCAAAACTGGTCACAACAGAGCTGTTCAGTAGAACGGGGATGGGGACCCAGGTGGCCAACATGAGACGTCCCCCCCATTCCCCCATCTTCCCGCCCCCCCGCCCTC